AGTTTTGAATTATAAATTGAAATAACTTATAAAATCTTTTAAACTTATATCATTTAAATTCTATGATAAATAAAAACTAGGAATTTGAAATATATTTTTACAATTTAAAAGAAATTAAAGTAAATAATTTTTAATGAATGTGATAAACTAGAGAAAAAATCTTTATTTTTGAACCCTTCATTTCAACCCAATGGTCTAAAAGATTTTAGTCCAATTAAATGTTTAATTTCATGCAATAAATTAATATTTATTAAATTAAATTTTACAAAAATAATGAAATAATAAATAGGTATTATAAGGTATAAATAATATATATGTGTAAAATGAAAAAAAAATCTTCATGATATGTTATTATTAAAATAATATTACAAGAAAGAATTTCTAATATTAAAAAAATATATGTTTAATGTATTTTATATAGTGCAATAATATATTAATTAATACTTGATGTAAATAAAATTATAGAAATACAAAAAGAAACAAAAGGAAAAAAAATCTATTTCTTAAACTTATTTATTTATTTTAATTGCAAATAAATAATTTACAAAAAATGATTAAAAAGTTCTGAAAATTACTAAATTTGTAATCAAGTTTGTTTACTATACTTTAACAGATTTTGACAATAATAGCAATAACACATCTTTTATAGTAGTTTTTAATTTGGATTTATGCAGTTTTCATTATATATTTTTTCCCCTTAGATATGGATTTCATTATGTGTTTGGTTATATAGGATATTTGAGCTAATAATAAATATTGATTTTACAAAAAAGCAATGGTATAGTGGAGTTAATTTATTTGTATAATTTAATCTTACTTGACTAATGATTATAATGAAATGATTAGGAAGTAGAATGGATCATAGAAAGGAGTTCGTGTGTGTATTCGCAAATGGACGAATTTTTAATGGCCCAGCTGGTGTAACATTTGAATCTGATAATGTGAAAATTATCAAAGTTGATGAAAACATTACCTTGGGCAAATTGAAGCAAGTTATTGGACGAAAGTTGCGACTTCCTCCCTATCAAAACGTGACAAATTTAGTATATAGGTATCCTACATGCATAAATCCACCACAATACCAAGCATGCAATTTGGAAGATGATACAGATATAAAACAAATGTGGCAAGTGACTAGAAGATTTTCAACTCAATTAACATGTGCAGAGTTGTATGCTAACATATGTGATTTACCAGATAATCACCATATTGAGTCACAACCCATAGGTGATTATGTCGAAAATATGCCCCCATCAAGTAGCAATAGGGTGAACATGATGGAACAAGAATCTATGTTTAGTGATGACATGGAAAGTTTCCAACCATTTGAACTCCCCATAGATGGTGGGAACATTATATCATCATGTTCTCTTCCTCACGTAGAAGATATCATGGATGAATCAGAGGATGAGGAAGAATATGATTCTTATTTAAATGCTGGTAATGGGGATGATAATGGTGACAATGACAATGAATATGACGAGATGAATGAGCAAAATCAGGTTACAAATGCTTCCTTGTCACAAATTCATGTTGAGTCAGTTACAACTCCTGAATTTGGTGAATTAGAAGATATTCTGCATGTTAGTGATAATGAAGAGTTAAATGTTGGGAAAATATTTAGCAATGTCCAAGTTTTAAGACGTGCAGTCAAGCTATATTCTGTTCGTGTTCATCATACATTTAAGGTCTATTATTCTTGTAAAAAGTATGAAGAATATCGTTGTGTTAACTATGGAGATAATTGCAATTGGAGAGTGAGGGCTTGCAAAAAGGAAAGCAAGAACTATTGGCAAATTACAAAATATGGGGGGCCTCACGTATGCTTGAGCACGTCATTAACTCAAGACCATCCAAAATTGGACGCAGATGTTATATCATCCTGCATTGTGGCAATGGTAACTGACAAACCAGATGTGAAAGTGTCACAAATTATTGAGAGGATGCAATCAATGTTTGGTTATACTGTGTCATATAGGAAAGCATGGAAGGCAAAACAATTAGCAATTGCGATTGCCTTTGGAAATTGGGAGACCTCATATTCCTTGCTCCCAAGATGGTTAGCTGCAGTTCAACACTTCATGCCTGGGTCATGCATATATTTTTCAAACAAACAATGCTCTCAAGTCAATACAAACGGTCAACCGATTGAAATGTTTCATCGTGTTTTTTGGACATTCAAGCCATGCATAGATGCATTTCCGTATTTAAAGCCCATTATACAAGTTGATGGAACATTCTTATATGGAAAATACAAGGGCACATTGCTTATGGCAATATCACAAGATGGCGATCGAAATGTTGTGCCACTTGCATTTGCTATAGTTGAAGGGGAAACAAGATCTGCTTGGGCATGGTTCTTACACCTTGTACGCCAATGTGTTGTAAAAGATAGAACAGGAATTTGCTTAATTTCAGATAGACATCGTTCAATTTTGGCTGCTGTTGCTCAACCCCAAGTTGGATGGCAACCACCACATGGACATCATGTTTTTTGTCTACGACACGTGGCTTCAAATCTTCACAAAGCACATGGAACAAATTGGTTAAAAGAGAAGTTTATAAATATCGGTGAGATTCCTTGTGCTTTTTATGATATTATAACTATTTGATTTTATAATCATTCTAACAAGTGCTAATAATAATATGTAGGGTATGCTTATGAACGTCATGTTGTTGACAGAGAATTAGCAGAAATAGCATTGCACCATACTCCTGCAGCTAGATGGATCGAAGCCATCCCAAAAGAGAAATGGTCACGTGCATATGACCTTGAAGGTCTTCGTTTTGGACATATGACAACCAATCTTGCAGAGTGCATGAATAATGTATTTAAAGGTGTTCGAAGTCTACCAATAACAGGTTTAGTTAAGGCAACCATGTATAGAGTCAATAATTATTTTGTCAAACGTGCCCAACAAGTTCATGCTCAAATTATGGTTGGTAAGGTATTTTCCGAGACAATGACAAAGAAGTTAGATATAGCAACACAAAGTGCATCTGCTTGTATAGTTCAAGATTTTAACAGAATAGCAACATCATTTGAGGTTATGGAGCCATATAATGTTCGATGTCGTCAATTTCGTCGGTGTTGCAAGGTGAATTTGATTGACAGAAAATGTGATTGTGGAGAGTTTCAAGCAGAAAAGTTTCCATGTATGCATGCCATTGCTGCTTGTGCACGAGTAGGCATAGACCATTTACAATATGTGGATCCTGTTTTTCGGTTGGAAACTATGCAAATGGTTTATAATAATGAGTTCCAACCAGTGGGAGATGAGATGTACTGGCCGCAGATTGATTGTCCTCTTCTAATACCTAACCCATCAATGATTAGAGATAAAGGACGTCCTCGCTCAAGTCGCATAAGAAATGAGATGGATTGGACCACACCCAATGAACCTAACAAGTGTGGATTATGTCGACAAGTTGGTCATAACCGTTCTACTTGTCCACAAAGTGTAGCATCTCGACAATAAATTATGTATTTCACTTTGTGTAATAAAAACATTATGTTTTATGAAGATTATATTATAATTAGTTTGATTTTTTTATATTATTTGGAATTTGTCCTTTACCTTATGCAGAGACATTTTAAAATGGCACAACTTCCAGAAGAGGTGATAAATCCTGGCCCAGAGGATAACTCTCTTTTGTACTTGCAAACCCAACATATTTCCGAACATGTGTGGAATGATAATGTAAGTAAAATCTATTTCTTATATATTATTTCATTGATGTTTCTATAATAATATTTTTTCCCTTTTCCACTATAGGTTAACAGGGTCCTACACACTAGACGAGTCATGCACGCTAATCAAATGATTAACCCACCTAATCAAATAATTGAATATCTTATATTAGCTGGATTTTATGGTGCTGCTCGAGTAGGACAGTTTGATTATGATCGAGGTTTGGTCTCAGCACTGGTTGAGAGGTGGCGTCCTGAGACTCATACATTTCACACTACACGTGGAGAATGCACCATAACATTAGAGGATGTAGCTAAACAATTGGGCCTTCCATGTGAAGGAATGGCAGTTATTGGCCGAACTGACTTTAATTGGCAAGACATATGTGAATGTTTTCTAGGTATTAGACCATCTGCAGATAGACTAAGTGGGCAGCGACTACTTATAAGTTGGTTGGAAGAGAACTTTAATCACCTACCTGATAATGCGGATGATGTACAAGTTCAACAATTCACTCGTGCATATATCCTCCGGTTGATTGGTGGATATCTCATGCCAGATAGATCGGGTAGCAAGGTGTATCTAATGTACCTTCCACTACTTTATGATCTTCAAGAAGCTGGAAAATACAGTTGGGGATCAGCAGTTTTAGCTCACCTATACAGAGAATTGTGTAATGCTACTAACCCAACTGAGGATGGGATTGGAGGATGCTTATCATTACTTCATTTATGGGCATGGGATCGTTTTCCTATGCTAGCACCACAACAACCTAGGTATCCAGATCCACAATCTGATATCTACCCTCTCTTACCTCCTTTGGGTTTTAGGTATGTTAAATTTATTAACTAACTATTTGTTATGCTCTTATATTATTAAAATTATATAATTTTTAACATTACTTTTTTGTAATAACAGATGGAAAAATGTTAGACAAAACCCACGTCCACTTGCTGCGTCTTTAATCCGATATAGGAGCTTTTTGGATAAAATGACCGATGATGAGATAATATGGCAGCCATATGAATCTCCTTATGTGCGCCAATTGATTCCTGAGTATTGCTTGACAACACCCGAAATTTGGCGTGCTTCAGTTCCTTTAATATGTTTTAATATTATAGAATGGCATCATCCTGACCGTGTACTACGGCAATTTGGTCGTCAGCAACCAATTCCTTCCATGCCTGTTCATTTGAGAAATTACCACACGATCCAATTACGAGGTAGAACAACTACAAATTGGATTGACAAATACGCAGATTCATTCAAGCATGGGATAGATGGCCACATGTAATTGTTAATGCTCCTATGGCATTTGATGAACTTGATCGAATATCTCAGTACATGCAATGGTATTGGAGACATACAAGACGATGGATTCAACGTATCAGTAGTGATACAGGTCGTGCGGTAAGTTTTTTATTTTTTCACCATTAATATTATTTTATTTTACACAAAAAGTTTTATTATCTTATATCTTATTATTTTTTTTCAGTCTGACATAGCAGAGGAGCTATACAGGCTTTCAATTAATTCTCGTTCAACATGCCCTAGTTGTGTTGATTATCGAGATAGGGTTGCTCACGACCAGCGTAACATTTTACTTGCACTTAGAGAACAACGTTTTAATGTAAACCCTCAGCCTGCTCCACCAACAATTGAGTTGCCTCGGCCACAAATTCCTCGTGATAGACCAAGCAAGCGACGAGGTGGTTACTTGTCTACCCAACCTATAATTGAAAACGAAAATGCAAGGGAACAGGAACCTCCAATTTTTACTCAGGCTTCTGACATATCACTGTCACCATCATCCCCCTTCATCTCTATCGATCCTACACAACTTGAGTCTCATTACATGGCACCCTCATCATCATCCCCTTCCAACTCAGCCAATCCTTCTCAATTTCAACCATTCATGACTTTATTAGATAATCCTGCATTATTTTCAGCTGAATACAATGCTTCTACTTTTGAACATGGTGGACCATCAAATGAAGCATTTGTCACTCCTCGACAATCTATACATTTAAATGAATCACCCTGGTTTGATTTGAACACGCCAACTACACAAACAAATGAGACATTTGAAGCTCAAGAAATTGACATACAACAACAACGCCCACAACGTATGAGAAGAAGGCCAAGATGTGGTACTGGAAGTCACTATCAGTGAGGTGGATAATTTTTTCTTTATAAACTTAAACTTTATTTATTACTTTTTATTTTTAATCTTATACTTATTTCACAATTAGTTTTAACATCATTTTAACATTTTTCTCTCATTATATAGTCATGATTTTGTCATTCAAATGATTGATAAATCATTATACTAATCATTTTAATCAGGAGAGAAGGGGAGAAGTCATTCAACAGCAGATGAAGTTTTGAAGTTGTTCACCAGAAGAACGATTTTCATTCACCTCATGCACATCAAGGACAGATTATGAAGAAGTCGTTCACCAGATAAATGACTTTAAAAATTATTCACCTGAAGACCTATTTTAAGTGTAATATATTAGTAAATACTTTTAAAAGTGCAGCATATTAATGTATAATTTTACAGTTTGTAGTATTTTGGTAAAAAATCCTGTCGTGTGGTATTTGTTCGGTTTGACAAGAAATCAAGTATTGAGCATGGCCCTTTTATGTCTATGACCAAAATAATAATAATAATAATTTAGTCTTACAACTTAATTGCTACAATTAAAAATTTACAATCAAAACATAACCTTTTTTGTTACGTACTGTTTGGTATGAGATAGATAAAAAGAAGAGGAAATGATAGAAAATTTCATCAAGCTCTATTTGAAAAAAAAATTAAAAAAAAACTGGGGTTTTCAAATTTTAATAAAATATAAGTTAGATGAAGTAAAATTTACTATATACTCCTCTGGTCCTATTTATAAGGCACTTCCAACATGTTTCACACAGACCAAGAAAAACCTTAAACTTCATTAACTCTCATTTAAAATTTAATGAATTTTCAACTTTATCCCTATTTAATATACATTATACCTCATATAAATAAAGTCAACACAATAATAAATGAGGGGTAAAATTGTACATCCATATAAAAAATTTCTCTTAGTGCCCTATGAATAGGACCAAAAAATACCTTCTCTCTCTGTCCTATAAATAGGACCAGAGGAGTATGTTGTAGCCTTGCGGGAGTATCATCAGGGATTTTTATTTTTGCATGCAAGGGTGAAATCGTTCTTGGCGTGAACGATTTCTGAAATCGTTCACGCCAAGAACGATTTCACTTTTAGATTTAAAAAAAAATTTAAAAGTGAAATCGTTCACACGAAGAACGATTTCTGAAATTTTAAATCTAAAAGTGAAATCGTTCTTGGCAAGAACGATTTCTGAAATCGTTCACGCCAAGAACGACTTGTGTGTAATTTGAAAATCGTTCTTGCCAAGAACGATTTTAAGTATAGCATATTGGTAAATAGTTTGAAAAGTGTAGCATTTCGGTAAAAAGTTTTACTGTTTATCGTATTTCGGTAAAAGAGCCCAGAAAGATTGATTTGAAGTTCAGAATGTTTTGAAACTTTCCATTAATTAAGTTCATATCGTGGGACTTAACTGAAGTTTTCCTCTTTTTGGGGTTGGCAACATTGTCCCTTACTACGTCCTTAATTATTTTCCTGCTCAAAAATGACTAAAATAAACCCGTATATTCATTTTGACCAAAAAAAAACCCATATATTCATATCTTAAAGACTAAATTATACAAAATCTTTTTAAACTGAGTTAGGTGGTACATAATCTCTTTAACATTTTAAAGTTTAAATTTAACTCTTCTTGAATTTTATTACGAATCCTTTACTATTAAGTTACCATTATTTTTTTGAAAAAAAATTGCCACACCAAATTAATGGAAGATAGATGACATCTTATACAGCATCCTATATAATTTAATAATTTTCTAAAACACCCAAACTTAAAACTATTTTCATATAACTCCTTTAACATTTTAAAATTTAAATTTGATCTCCTAAAGTTCAAGGAGGGGGTTATGCAGCTGGCTCAAAATTTAGGGGCATCATCCTTTCACTTTGTTGAATTTGTGCAAAATGAAAATTTTCTGCCGGTTATAATCATGAAGCAAATTGTGCCATCTAGTTCCTTTAAGTTCAGCTGTTTGTTTAAATGGTCACAAGTATTATGTGGACGTGGTTGAATGTTCCGTTGTGATCTGAATTTTCATCTCTGTTCTCTAACAGCTTGATTATAGGCAGGTAGAACTCACAGCTTCATTTTATTTCCGGTCTTTAATATAAAAGTTAGTTAATCAATTTGAGTAGATTAAGAAAATTAGTTAAGTTAGTTATTTGTAATAAATAGGTGTTGTCTTTTCTAGAATATCCTTGTTAATTAAGTATATTGACTAGAATTATCATTATTACAAAGATCATCTTAAAAAATAGATAAATATGAAAAATAAAGTGAATTTTTTTTACATAAAAAAACAAAGTGGATTGAGATCTTATATTTAATATTAAAATAAAAATCAAACGAGTTCTTATATTAAAGATTAAATATAGTATTTACTGTGTAGGCTAAAAGGTCACTAGCAAATATGCAATTTCCTTGAAGCTCCATTTCTGACTTACAGACCAAAATGATGTGCGAAATTTCTTCCCTCTTTTCGCGTCAATGCGCAAGTCATTCTGGAGGGGACAATGACAAGAAAAATTAAAAAAGACAAATTTTGGTGAAAAAGACCCATTAGACATTTATCTCTCTTATTAGGGAATCATGAGATCGCTATGATAGTTCATTTTTGGCCACTTGCTTATGAACGTTGAATCCTGCCTAGGCACTTGACTTCAGCGTGGCTCGTTACAATAATTCTTTCCTTCAATTCCATAAAAGCACTTACTCATTATTATAATGTTATAGTGCCTCTTTGGGATCATGATAAAAATTCTCTATAAGCAAGTTTTACATAAAACGAGAGACATACTTATCTCGTATTTTATAAATCACTATTAAAAAACTACTTATAAGCTATTTATAAACTGTTCTAAACAACTTATATAATGTAGTCAAGTCAATAAGGGGAGGTGAGGCCTCGGAGGTGTTAATTTCAGTAAGCTACATTTTTGAATTCCAGAAATATTTTTTTTTAAAAAAAAAGATAAGACTTTTTTGTCAATTTTTATTGAAATTATACTTTTTTTTTACCACCGGCCGTTTGGCCTAGTGGTATGCGTGCCTGTGAGGGGTGTGTGCGTGCGGGTTCGATCTCGCCCCTTGCAACAACAAAAAAACTATACTTTTTTTTGCAAAAAAATCTCGTAGTTTAATGACAATGACATGGATACTTTCATGTAAGTGGGAAGCTACAGAGTCAATCTTATTTATAATTTCAGACATTCAATGCATGTCCATAGCCTCCAAAAGCAAAAGTTCTCAATTTTAGAGGAGAGAGGGAGGAGGGGATGAGAAGAAAAACCAAGGGCTTGTTTTTTTTTTTTTGAAAATGGTTTTTTTAAAAACAAAAAACAATTGTTTGACGATTTACATTTAGTTAAGTGTTTTTAAACATACAAAAATAGAAATTTATGTTTAAAAACTAAAAAATCGAGACAATTGATTTTGAGTTTCTTGCGTATTAGACGACGGGGAATTGCTGCCATGTCATTTATCATATTTTTCTAATCATTTTTTGTCCTATTATGCAAAAGAGAGCCAAGTCAATGGTAGTCCTTCATAGTATTTGATGACTCGCTCTGAAAAATCCCAAAACTCATTTATTGGAGTAGATTTCTCAAATGCGCGCAAGCAAAAATACTTAAGAGACTCCTCATTTTTTAACCTTTTCATTTCATATGCTATTATGTCAACAGAAAAATTGTAGATAATGCCACTGACATACTTTGCCCCTCTTGTAAGGGATATCAAGCTCCTTTTACCACACCATTTCACATGTCCCAATAATTTCTCAAGTTTACGCCCATTATATGCATCATCAAGTACCACTAAGACTTTTCTTCCGCGGAGTACTTCAAAAATTTGTTCATCTTTTAAAGAACAATTTTATTATAAATAGCTTTGGCAATCGTAGTTTTGCCAATACCTTCATCTCCCCACATTTCGAATATGATCGTATCATCCCACCAAATGTATCTCCAACTCACAATTTCAAGCAATTCCCCCACAGGAAGTGATAACCCTACTAGATTATGGCATGGCAGATCATGAAACGACTTATTATGCAGCATGGAAAGATCCATGTTTGCCAGGCGGCTACTGATTTTGCTCCTGTCAGTTTGCGATGTAATGTTAGATTAAAACGACGAAGAGTTGTTCAGTCCCAAAAAACAAAATAACACGAAAAGGTATAATGTGCGTAAAAGAAATATTGGCCCTCCGTACACATTTAAGTTCTTTTTTTTTTTGGAAAAGTTTATCTTCTTGCTGCTTCTGCCACTGCTACTACATGATTTAATATTTTTTATATTTATTAATTTTCTTCTCAAACTGCTCTTATCAATACTTCCTCAATTAAAGGCAACAATACTTCAAATGCACTCATATATTTTATGAAGTAACCAATGCTTGGCATTGCAGAGAAATTCATTATTAATAGTACGCAAGGGGAAATTCTACTGTTGTTTATTTTCAAATAAAATAAAATAAAATAAAATGTTTTTACGTTTGTACCATTCAAAGTGACTAGAACTTTTTCACAGAAAAAAAGCCCAATGGCTAGAGTATCTTAGGAGTGTTGTTTGTTTTTGTTCTTTGTTTTCTTATTCTCAAAATAATTTTATAAAATTGTTTTTAAGAACAAGTTTTAGAAACAAAAAAATAAGTTTGGAAAATAATTTTTAAAAAATCACATTTGAAAAAAATATAAAAATTACACTTTGACAAATGATAGTTATCACCGGTAATAATAAGTAGTAAGTAATAAAAGAGAAGAGAAGAAGATTTTTCCAATTTTTCAAAACAAAAAAAATAAAAAACACAAAAACAAAAACAAGAAAACATATAAAAGTTGTTTTGGTTTTTTAGTTTTAAAAACATAATTATTGTCTTTTTGTTTTTTAAAACAATCAACTAAAAACAAATTGTAAATAAGTTTTTTTGTTTTTCGTCTTTTAAAAACAAAAAATTGTTTTCAAAACAAGAAACTAAACAAGCTTTTAATCTCA